CATTCGTGTGATACGAAGGTCCAGTTATTCAGTTGAATGACCTTCAAATAGAAAATAATTTGACAAGTATGGCCTCGGTGACACCACTCCAAATTCTAAAGGGTAAAATGGCCTCGGTGACACCACTCCAAACTCTAAAGGGTGAAGAAGTAAAAGCACCAATTCAGTGATAAGGATCAGAAGTTCGTCGCAATGGAAATACCGATGGTGGTGTGCCTTACCGCATCTTAATTTAGAGAATGTTGCACACTGCAACGAAGCCAACCATCGTACTGATCAAAAATCAAAACGTTATTATAACATCCGTGAACGTTGTAAAGCATGTTGTTAGGTTTTGTCAAAAATAGAAAATAAGGTTACAAAAGTTTGCAGCAGCGTCTGCAACGTTATTCAGTCATACATTAGATTATAAATACATATTAATTCTTTTATTATAAAGTGCAGCGTTATTCAAACGTAAAATTGTTAGCTGGATTAATGGTTTCGAACACATTCAGGGTTTTACTTATCTAAGAACAATTATTGACATGTGTTGGTTTATCCAGACAGACGTATCGAAGTAAAGCATTTATTTATTAACGTCTCATCCTCACACAGGCCAGCCATACCTGGCTTATGAGAGACAAAATATAATAGTACAATTAAAAAGTAAATTACAGGGTGTAAACAGCAAATATATAATACTGTAGTGCTAATTAAGGTTAAATAAACACCATTTACTTTTTTCGAAAATCAAACAAATTTAGCAACATGAAAACAAACAGATTTAAATGTAAAATGCATATGTCTACGAAAAGCATTAAGTGAATTATAATTTGAGGGAAATCATTAGGCTTAACTAGTAATAGTGAAAACAGTATTGTATTACCGATGAACTGTTATACAATATAAATTTTTTCTCCCCAAATGTCATATTTGCTAGCCCACTACTCCGACAACTGCACTGGAGAGAGAATTATTTTTTCCATTACACTTTGTTTATTAATCACCGAAACAGTCGCTCTGCTGTTCTGAGTTTTTTTTTTTCTTGTGTTCGAAATATTTCAAAAACGGCTGCACATACATAATTGAAAATAACAGGGAGTGTTATGTAACTCAATGAAGAAATGATACAATTTTGGTAACTGTTCGGAGTAGGGTGTGGATATGAGGGCCATTTAAAAGAATTTGTCCTAGACATATCCCAAAAGCTAATCAACTAATGTTAATAAAACTTTCGTGAAGGTTTAACCAAGTTACAAGGAAGAAATTATCAAGCGTTGGTGACGATTTAAGTTCGTGGGTTAACTTGAGGGTAATTTAAATTTTTAAGGTCCTGGGTGTTTCTTGTGTTCAAAATATCTCAAAAACAGTTGCACCGATCTAAATGCCAGTCACAAGGATGAGGTGATTAAATTAAACCACCTATTAAGAACCATTGGTTTTTAATAGGCTGCCCGCGGGCCAAATTTGGCCACTTAAGTCAGTGATTAAGTTCGCTTATTGGCATATCGTTGGCGCTCGTGCCAAACGAAATGAAATGGAGCTTATAAATCTAGCCCATTCGAAAAAAAAAAAATGAAAAAAAACAAAAAACAAATAATAATAAAAAAGTAAATTATCTGATAAATCATTTTCATATAAGTAAATACCTAAATGCAACCCCTAACAACATTTAAGCTTGTATAAAGCAAACAATGGGGGTGGTGGGGCGCAAAGGTGAAGTAGGGGGA